GTACAGGAGGAGATTGCCCCTCCTTCTCCAGCAGAGCATCTGGTGGATTTGAACCGCACGTCTTTGGGATTACAGCGCAGCTTCTTGCCACTAGGCCCCCAGAGCTCCATGCCCAATCTTTTTTTTTTTTTTTTTTTTTTTGTCATCTACTTGTACCAGACTATTCTTACTGGGACAGAAAGACAAGACTGTTCTTCTGTTAAAAATGGCAATTGTCACTGCAATCTCAGAGGTACATGGTTCAAATCCACCAGATGCTCTGCTGGAGAAGGAGGAACAATCTCCTCCTGTATCAGTCAGATCTGATTTGACGGTACACACAAAAAATAATGAAATAAAATAAAATTTTTTAAAAAATGGCAATTGTCCTCCCCAGTCCTGTCCCCACTGCTATCCCTATCCACTCCATTAAAAGGTCTCATCTCCCCTTCATAAAACTCCTTAAAGCAGAAGCTCCTGGGCTTTTCTGGGCTGAATTGTCTGTCCCCACGCAGGACCGGGCCAAAGCTGAGTTCTTGAATAAGAAGTTACGGAGGCAGCTGGCTGAGTACCGAGCACCCCCGGTGATGATGTATGTCCAGGAGAAGATGACGAATGAGGAGCTGGAGAAGGCCATCAAGACGTGGGAGAGGAAGGTTGAAATCACAGAGGTGAGTTCCAGGACCACTCTCTGGAGGGTGGTACTGCTGGCCCCACAGCACTTTTGCTTAAGATTTTGTTTCGGGGGTAAGAATATAAGGGCTTGTAAAAATCATAGCCATTGCTTTGTTATTAAAAAATGAAGGATGTTTTTCCTTGTCATTTTAAGGAGCATGGGGAGGGCTTATATACCAGGGGGAGACTGTAGCTATATTCTTAATGTCTCATTTTCTTAATAAACCCTGGAAGCGTAAGCGTTCATCCTCCTTCTTGGCAATTTAGTGATTGTCACTGTATGCGTGGTGGTTGTTGTTGTTAGGTGCCGTCAAGTCTTGTACAACTCACAGTGACTCTGTGAACAACAGATCTGAACCCTGTTCTATCCTGTGCCATCCTCACACTTCCTGACACACGGAAGCCCATTGTAGCAGTCACCGTGTCAATCCACCTGGCCGAGGGTCTTCCTCTACTTCGCCGACCCTCCACCCTTCCCAGCATCATGTCCTTCTCCAAGGAATCGCCCCTCCTAGCAACATGCCCAAAGTATGTATACATGGTTAAGCCGGTTTTTAAAACAAATGACATAATAGATTCTAAATATCACCCAGCACCCAATTCCATGCATATGCATAGTTGCTGTGGCTCTTTATTTTTAACTAATTCTGCAGCCTAATAACACGTAACGTGCAGTTAAATTCCAGCTCCCCCTGAGCCACAGAAGTTGAGTGGGCAGCGTGGAAACTATTTGCTGGCATCAGAAAAAAAGGAAAGCACTGAGTTTGCCACAGACCAGTATGCACACTTGGGCGTCGTTCAAATCACTTAAAGCCCCTTCAAGCTACTCAGGAAATGAAAGGCAGCTCAGTGATGTCACATAGAGACCCTGGCTCAGGTCCCCTGGTACTTTCTTCTGCCTTTCCAATGACCACACGGTGATAAGGAGTGAATTAGGATCCAGGCTCTGGCTGCATTCAGAGCTGAGAAGTTCCAGAGACTCCCAGGAAGCCTCTGGCAGCTTCTCAATCCTTGTCAGCAGAAGCGTGGTCCTCAGGAGAATCTTCCAGACGGGTGCTGCTCATGGGTGGCCCTGCCCAGCTGCACACACAGAGGGGGCCCCGCAGCTTAGTTCTATCACCACGCAGGCCCCTACCCACGCCGTCCACAGGGCATTCTGTGGGGAACGGTGACAGTCAGTGGCTACATGACCGTATCTCCCCCACCACCCCTTTTTTCCTTTTTCACAGATGTCTTTGAAAGGCTACCGCAAGGCTTGGAACAAAATGAAAACTGCTTATGAACAGTTAGAGGCGATTGAGTCCTCTGGAAAATAACGAGGAGGACTGGGCTTCACCATTGCTTAGACCAAGAAGTGATCCATTGCAATTATCAGGGTTTGTTTGGTGGGGTTTTTTGGTTGGTTGTTTGTGTTTTTTTTTGGGGGGGGGGTTAAGTTATGGGGCCTTTTGCTGTTCCCTGTGCTGCTTGGGGACCCAACTCTCCAGTCAGACTGCCTGTCATCTCCTTCCTGGGCCACATGTGCCCGTGGGGAGCTGTCGGCCTGGCTCCTCGAACCATCAACATTGAAAGAACCACAGAGCACATCAAGGGTTTGAGAGGTATTAGGCCACATTTAGTTCACAAGAACAAATGAAGGTGACCTTCTCGCATGTGGGGTGGGATAGAGGAGGGCGGGCCAGCTCAGTGTGTACCGTAGGCCCTGCCCATCATGGCTCAGGTGTTGCTACTATCAAAAATACAAAAATAGACATCAGTACAGTTGGGCCAGGGCCAGCATCCAGCATTCTGAGCTCACTTTTCTGTTGCATGAGTCAGTATCTAGACATCTAGCTAACTGCTACAAAAGAAAGCCAGCAAGGAGAAGAGCACGGTGGTTTGTTGGGGTTGATGTAAGCTGTTCTGACCTGCAACAGACTCCCCTTCTCCAGCCTCCCCGCTGTAGTAGTCGTAGTACATGGGCTGCATGGCAATTTCTGAAACCCGGCCTGTCTCCCTCAGACCCTTTTGCCTCGAGTGAGGGCTACTCCCAGGCTCTTTTGCTGTCCCCAAGTGACTGGGGGGCCGGCTTGTCCCTCGACGCTGTTCTTGGTGCCCTTTGGCAGAGCTGTTCTGAGCCTGGCTTCTCTGTGTCATGAGGTCCCTCAGCCCGCTGGAGTGAGGGGGCATCTTTTCCCAGTTGGAGAGAGGATAGAGGGCAGGGCCGACCTTCTCGGACTCCTCTTTGATCCAGTCGCTGTAGTCTTCCACCTTGGTATACAGAAAGGGGCCGCTGCACTTATTATTGCCCTGCGTCAGGACTCCCCTCAGGACCCACAGATCCGATTTCGGGAGTTGGCACATCATTGGGTTTCCGGGGTCACCCTGTGAAGAAGGACAGAAGACGTCAGGTCTTAGGTACACTGGCTTTCATTTTAAGACTCACAAGGCAACTCAGCAATCTACCTGGTACAATTAGAAATGTCTTATATTAATTCTTACTGGGAATAGGGAATATTCTCACTGGAAATAGGATACTATATTGTTTTGGATCAAGGTACAGGCAGCAGCTGCTACAAATTCTAAGAAGAAGAAGTTTCCTTTTACTATGCAGATTATCTATAGGGTTTAGCAATAGGCCTGTGGGCTTCCTAGTTTGAATTTCATTTTCTTGGTTTTTTTTTTCTTCCAGAACTTTTACTCAATCCTTCCTCTCTTTTTGATTTTCATTCTTTGGATCTTTTTTTTTTAAATTTATTTTATTTTTATTATTTGTGTGTGTATACCGTCAAATCAGATTTGACTGGTACAGGAGGAGATGGTTCCTCCTTCTCCAGCAGAGCATTCTTTGGATCTTAAGCTTTCCTTTCTGGCCTGGAATGGCCACATTTCTTTCCTCCTGGGTTTCCATCCTTAGATTATTAAGCTGCCTCTTCTCACCACAGACCCTCTGGGTGGGGGGAGCTGAGCCTCTCAAGGCGGGTCCCCACCTTTCCACTTGGCTTCTCTGACACTCCACCTGCTCGCAGCCCTTGCCCGCTTCCTCACTCCCCTGCTCCGTGGGAGCAGACGGCTGGCATTCTACAGACAGACCATAACTCCCTTAGTGGGTGGAAGCTTAGCTGACTTGCATCTGGGACCCTTAGTAAGTTATAGTTGATTCTCACTCATCGGACTGTGTAGAACAGCCCTCTAGGACTTCCAAGCCGATTCCAACATCTTTCTCCTTTGGAATGGTTGATGGATTCCGAGTGCTTAACAATTTAGTTAGCAACACATTACTCATCCCCTCCGCCACCAAGGCTCCTTAGAGTTGGGATGCTGCCAGTTAATGCCGAACACTGCACAGAAGGCCTGACTCACTGTGAAAAATCCACAAAGATTACATAAAAACCTCCAAAATCCATGGCTATCAACTCGATTCTGACTCTTGGTGACCCCTCCACCAAGTGTTCAAAAGCTGTAAATCTTACAAGAACAGACGGCCTCATCTTACTCCCAGGGAGTATGTTCCAATTACCAACTTTCTGGTTAGCAGCACAATGTAAAAAAAAACCAAAACACTTAAGCCAGTCAGGCTCCCAGTGAAGATTCAAAAGTCAACCCCTTAGACACAGTACTCAAAACAGTGTGGTACTGGGACAATGACAGCTGTGTGGACCAATGGGACAAAACAGAGAGCCAGAAAGAAAGCCATCGCCCTGTGAACATATCTATACCTACTCTCTTTATGTCTATTTAATCTGTGTACTGAGGAAATCATCCAAGAAGTTGGATTCTGTGACGAAGAATGTGGCATCAGGATCTGAGAAAGACTTTTATCAACAGCCTGCCTTATGCAGATGATACCACCTTGCTTTCTGAAAGTGAGGAGGACTTGAAAAGCTTAGAATGCAGTCTTCAATATGGATTAACATCCGAACATCAAGAAAACAAATATTCTCACCACTGAACCGACAGGCAACTTCATGACAGATGGAGGAAAGACTGGAATTGTCCATGATTTCATCTTACTTGGATCCACAGTCAAACATTCTTGATAGCAACAGTCAGGAGACGTAGTGCGCAAGTCTGTGGTAAGTGACCCCCTCCGAATTATTGAAGAGCAACAAAGTCAGTTTGAAGATTATAGTGTGCCTGATTCAGGTCATGGTCTTTTCAATCACTTGCTGTGTGTCTGAAGTCTGGATGATGCATAACAATTACAGAAGAAGAATTGATGCCTTTGAATTATGATATTGGAGAATAAGACAGAATGTGTTGTGGACTGCCAGAAGACCAATCAGGACTGTCTTGGAGAAGGGGGAGGCAAAGATGACATTTTATCTCACATACTTTGAGCATGTTGTCAGGAGAGGCTGTTCCTTGTAAAGGGAAGACACAGTGACTGCAGTAATGGGTTCAGGTGTGTCAGATGATGAGGATGACAAATGACTGGACAGGGCTCAGAGCTGTTGTTTACAGGGTCACTATGAGTTGTATTCAATTCAACGGCACCTAACAACAGGTACCTATGACCGTGACCTATGGCCAATCTGTGGATCTTTGACAAAGAAGTGAAATCCATTAGGTGGAGAAAAGAGAGTCCCTTTAACAAAGTGTGCTGGAGAAACTAGGTATCTCTTTGCAGAGGTGACAAGGATGGCGCAGGATAAGGCCATCATTCATACTCATTGTTCATAGGGTCACTGTGAGTCATACTTGACTCAATAGCGCCTAACAACAATTTGCAGAAAACAGAAACAAGGCCCATATCTCACACCATAAGTTAAGACAGATCAGGGACTTGTTATAAAATATAAAACTAGAAAGATCATAGAAGAAAAAACAAATGGGAAAAATTTAAGATTCCCTAAATGATGGCCTTAAGTAGATTATCCACCCTAACTGACACAGTCAAGAGAGGGTAAGGTAGACGATGTGGCCTTCTAAAAATGAAATCCTTAGGTGTTTCTCCTCTGAGACTTCTTGCCTCTGAAAGATATGCTGGAGGGTCAGCTATGACCAGTTCTGACTTAATCGTACAAAACAACAGTGTTGAGTTAGGTAAAACTATGGCAAGGACCTCTTTAAAGTGTTAAGGGGAAAAAATACCCCAAAAACCCACAACTGTGTCTTTGAGGGCAAAGGTGCACCTGGCACAAACCATGGCTGATGAATAAGGAAGATCAAAGAAGAGCTGATGCCTTTGAGTGATAGATTTGGTGAAGAATGGTGAAGAAATCGACCGGTTCCTGAAGAAAAGGACCACCTGTGGTAAAGCTGAGGGCGCGGGAGAAAGAGGAAACCCTCCACGACATAGATTTGCCCACCAGCTGCAACCATGGGCTCACACGTGGTAACGGGGAGGATTCAGCATCGCTGCGTTCTGTTGCGCACAGAATTTGTATGAGTTGAAGCTAACTCGGCAGCTCCTACCAACAACAATCTTCATGGAAACAAAGAATCAGATTTTCATCTGCAGAGCTGCTGGGTGGTTTCAAACCACCTAACCTTTGGTTAATAGTTACCTGCAAACTGCTTGTGCCACCCAGTTGACCTACTCAGTCACTGCGCAAGTCAGTATACAAGCTCCCAGTTGAATAGGTATTTTCCCTGCCAGGTGGTCCACTTTGGCCCAAGGAAGTGGTCGTCATGCAAAGGTTAACCTTGGGCTCATTTAAACAGAGGGGATAAGCTAGGCATCCCATAATGCTCATGGCTTTTGGACTGAGGTGCAGTGCCAGCAGGAAGCTATCTGAATAGACCACAAGAAGCAGAAAGAGTGTCCATTCTGAGGCCAAGGCATTGGATCTCTCTTGGGTTTCTTTACACACTCATCCTTTACAGTCGTCTGTCCCTCTGTGGAGAGAAGTCACATCAGACCAAAATGAGGATAAACAGAGAAAGAAAAAAGCAACTCTGCCACAATGCAGGATTAGTCCTCAGAAGCAGGCAGATCGCCCAGGAAGCAAGGTGAGCTCAGGCTAATCCATAGTGAAGAGTTTCTTCACATCTTCTGAACCTGGACACAGAACGTACCACATCTCTCATGGGAGGGGCTCTGTCACAGCCAAATCCCTAGTCATGCTTGGGGGAGGGAGAGGCTTAGGGTGACTGTGCCCTTGTTGAGTTTCCGGAGAGAACCTGTGTGGCAGACACTGAATCCGAGTGGTCTATACTAGCCATGCAAAGAGTGTGGCTTTGAAGCCCCCCCGGGAAGCTAGAACACATTACTGAGTGAGGCGGGCAGAACACCATTGGTCTGAGGTAGTTGATAAACTCAGTTTTGTTAAAATTTAAAAAAAAAAAGCCTACAGTTGCACAGCAGTTAAAAACCAATCTTGATTTCATAGGCAGATTTTGAAATGGTGATTATTTAGAATCTAAATCATTTCCCATATTTGATTTAGTCTAAGATGCACTTAAATTTTCAAAAAACATCTTTGAAATTGTGATGTGTATTTCAGCCAGTTGAAAGCAGAGTTTAACTGGCAATATTTTTTTCTTTCTTAATGTTGTTGTGCTGTCAAGTCACTTGCAACTTCATAGTGACCCTATATATAAGTCCTAAACCCTGCCCTACCCTGTGCCAACATCACCGTCTCTGACACACTTACTCCCACCACCCCAATCACAGAATCGATCCATCTCACCTAGGGTCTTCCTCTCCTGTGCCGTCCCGCCAATCTCCCAAATATGATGTCCCTCTCTAAGGACCTCCTTGCAACATGTCCAAAGTATGTCAGATGAAGCTTCAGAATCCTTACCTCCAAGGAGCAGCCTGGCATCACCCTCTCCAGGACAAACCTGTGTGTTCTTCTAGCAGTCCATGGTATATTCAACACTCTTCTTCTCCAGCACCACAGCTCAAAGGCATCAATTCTCCTTCTATCCTCCCTAGTCATTGTCCAGCTTTCTAATGACATCTTGGATTTGATGAAGTACAATATTGGGTTGACTGGTTGGTGGTAAGATTTTGTTAAATGGCTACGTCTTCTACTGAATTTAAACTGTCTAAGGAGCCAAGGCATAGCATGGAAGAGACTGGGATGCTAGCCAAAAGGCCGTTTGAATTCACTAGCCACTCCATGGGAGAAAGGTGGTCAGTCTTCTCTCATAAAGATCGGAAACCCAGAGGAGGGTCAGCTTGACAGCAGGAGGCTTTGGGTTTAGAACTTGGCAGCTACCAGGAAAGTTGACAGTGTCCACCAGGTAGTCCATGGGAGGAAGGTGTGACCACTCATTTCAATAAAGATTGAAGCCTAGAACCCTATGGAGCAGTTCCAGCCTGTCCTACGGGGTTGCTATGAGTTTAATTCAATGGCAAGAATCTTTACCTAAGTTGTTAATGTCCTGTTCCAGACAGGGGTCCCAGCACCAGCATCAGAGATGGGGGACTGCGTCCCACAGAGGTTAAATGTGGAGACCCTACATTGCAGACATGCTCAGAGACTGTGTGGTTAGGACTCATATTACACACACTTGGCTAGTTAAAAAACAACTGTGATTTACCCATGCTTAACTATGTTACTCTGAGCAACTGATGAGTTCATCCGCTCAGTGGGGTTTGAATGAGCTCTCGCTAACTGCCTAATGCTCTTGACCCCAGAGACGGCTGCTGGATCCCAAGGAACAGTGTTGGGGAGCTCACTCTCCGGGGAGGGGAGCCCCTTGAGGTGACCCATGCTTACGGTCAGCAGTTAGCTCCTGCTTCACCATATTCTTACCAAGCAGATGTTGTACGTTTTCTGCTCCCTGTGAAAGTGAATGCTGCAAGCTGTCTTCCAGGGTCTGTTTAAAGGACACAGGTCCACATCTTTCACGGAGATTTTCCTCAGAACACTCATCGTCAATTGTGTTTCTGTCTGGACCATACAACACAAAGTCTAAGAAGGTTTACAAGAGGGGTGCCCTCCGAACCCCCTCAGCCACCCCTCACATAGCCACATGAGAGTGAGCAGGAAAGGTCCTTGTAAATCCCTCTCCACAGAGAAGTCAGAATCTATGTTTGAACGTCTACTGAAAGCTAACCTTGCTTTGAACTTGAACGTGAAAATAGGCAGAGGACGCATTCACTCACCCTTGCCCTATATTTACCAAGTAGTATATATTTTCCTTTTTCCTTTCCTTCCCAAGACTGAAAACAACCCAAGGATGGCTTTTCTATAAAGACAGTCAGTTCCTGTTTGGGAAATTATGTCCCCCCCAACTCCACACCAGTGCCTTTGCATTCAGTTGCATCTGGCCTCGGCCAAGCTGCTTCTGTTTTCAGTCTACAGCTAGATGGGAAAGGGTCATGCGGAAGAATGGCCTTAGAAAGGGCGAGCACTGGGACTCCCGAAAGCAAAGTTGAAGGGACAGTGTCCGGTGCTCACGCAAGCTGAGTTGGTTAAGATAAAGCTGCAACACCCCTCCCCTACGTCACCCCCACTGCTAGCGCGCGCGTACACACACACACACACACACACACACACAGCCTCCTCTAGGTGAAGGAAGGCATTAACTGCAGACGTGGGGTTCCATCCTGACACCCAGCAGTTCCGCAGCACTTCCAGTGGCTTCTGCAGCCTTCTGCCCAGGAAGCAGATGGGCTGGACCAGGTCGTTGAACTTCATGGTGCTGTCCGTCTTCAGGAGGGCGATGTTGTTGTTCATGGAGCTGTTGTCAAAGTCCTTGTGGATGATGATGGTGTTGATTGCATACTCTTTGAAGGCTCTCTTTCGCACGTCCATGTTGGCGATCCCCACTATAACGACCGCGCTGTTCCTGGAAAGAGCAAGGGAAGCTTGAGAAGCCGCAGCAGCAGCAAAGACGCATCCTACCTCGCTGTTTTCACAGCTACTGCTCCTGGGACTTGAAGGCTAAGCCAACTCATCTTGCCTGGGCTAGTTTTTAACTCACTCACCCTCTCAGATCCAGTCCCCAGGAAATCTCTGAGACCCCAGGGTTGTACCCTTCTTTGTGAGCCTCTGGAATCTCAAAGAATCTTTTGTATTAACATCATTTACTCCACAGCCCAAAGACAGTCCACTAACATGTCATTGTTGTACTTTGCTTCTAGGAATAGTTTCAATTTGACATATGACCTGCTTTTAGCCCCTAATAGTCTCATGTAAGCATCTTTCCATCTTAATGTTTTGGAAACACAATTAGAGAAACTCCAGTTTTAATAATGAAGTAAACTCAGACATTTCTCCTGTCTCCTCCCAGAAGTCACTCAAGAAGGTATAAGAATGAGAAGCAAATGCCTTACTTAATACCTCAGGGCCCAGAGGAAGCCTGGCCAAAAGTGTATCACAGCAAAGAAGTGGAACAGAAGGAAAGAAAATTGTCACAGAAAAGAAGACCAAGTTGGAAGCCAGATAAACTAGAACAGAGGCCACAGAAAACATTCAGGGACACAGAAGGTAGGTGAGAGAAAACACCAAAACAAATGGAAATTAAGGATTATTTTTAAAGGCTGGAGAGGAAAATGTCAGGTATGGTCATTAAAGGAAAATTAACACAACACAGGAACTGTAACCAAAATAATGGGTAAAAAATTATCCAGGAGATGATTTAAGAACATTTTCCAGAAAAAAGGCATAAATCTACAGTTTGACAGAGAACCCCAAATCCTAGAGAGAAAAAGAATACCCTTATCAGACTCCTGCTGGAAACAGAGGAGACATGCACATACAGAAAGCTGAGAAGAGTTCTTTAATTGGGGTCTTTATAAAAAGATCTTAGAAGAATGTAGAAGAGCACATGGAGGAATCAGTCTACAGTCGAGATCCTGACTTCATTTTTCTTCTCCCCTTTTCTGATCTCCTACATGGGCTACCCTTAACCAAACTCAGCTGAGACACAGGAGATAAGAGAGTATATTGATTTGCACACACTGACACACAAGGGGGTACACTCATTGATGTAGCCCTCCTCAGACGCACAATGGGGTGCTTCGAGAAGGCCAAGTGGAACAGACGTGGCAGAGCTAGCAGGCTTAGTGACAGAGCAATCCCTGGGCAGACAGATAAAAATATGAAACAATTTTCAATCTAATCCAGGAATAGATGGTATACCAATTGACATATTTCAGCTAACAGATGCTGTCCTGGACATGCTCACCAAGTTGTGCCAAGAAATCTGGAGAACAACCACTTGGTCAACTGACTGGAAGAGATCTATATTTGTTCCCATCCCAAAGAAAGGTGACCCAACAGAGTGTGGAAACTAAAGAACAATCTCATTGATTTCACATGCAAGCAAGACTCTATTGAAGATTATCCAAAAACGACTGGAACAGCACACAGCAGAGAACTACCAGAAGTCCAGGCTGGGTTTAGAAGGGGTTGTGGTACTAGGGATATTGTAGCTGATGTTAGATGGATCTTAGCTGAGAATACCAGAGGAATGTCTATCTATAGTGTTTCATTGACTATGCAAAGGCATTTGACTGCATGGATCATAACAAACTGTGGCTGACTCTGAGAAGAACGGGAATCCCAGAACACTTGATGGTTCTAATGTGAAACCTATACTTGGACCAGGAGGCAGTTGTCAGAACAGAGCAAGGGAACACTGCATGGTTCAAAATTGGGAAGGGAGAACGCCAGAGATGCGTCCTATCTCCATACCTTTTCAACCTATATGCAGAACAGATTATCTGGGAAGCTGGGCTCTGTGAGGAGAAATGTGGGGTCAAGATTGGTGGAAGATCTATCAACAATCTGCATTATGCAGATGACACAACCCTGCTTGCTGAAACTGAGGAGGACCTGAAGTACCTGCTGCAGAGGGTCAAGGACTGCAGCCTCCAATATGGATTGAGGCTCAATGTCAAGAAGACAAAGATTCTCACCCCTGGACCAACTGGCAGCATCAGGATGGATGGTGAAGAGATTGAGATTGTACACAGCTTTAGTTTGCTTGGCTCCATAGTCAACATTCTTGGCACCAGTAGCCAGGAAATTAAAAGGCGCATTGCCATGGGAAAGTCTGCTATTAGGGACCTCTCCAAAGTACTGAAGAGCAATGGTGTCTCTCTGGAGACTAAGGTGCATGTGATACAGGCCATGGTCTTCGCAATCACTTGTTATGCATTAGAGAGTTGGACAATGACCAAGGAGGATAGAAGGAGAATTGATGCCTTTGAGCTGTGGTGCTGGAGAAGAGTATTGAGGGTACCATGGACTGCTAGGAGAACAAACAGTTTCATCCTGGAGAGGGTTAAACCGGGTGGCTCCTTGGAGGCAAAGATTCTGAGGCTCTGTCTGACATACTTTGGACATGTTGTGAGGAGAGACCGGTCCTTGAAGAAGGACATCATGCTTGGGAGGGTGGAGGGACAGCGCAGGAGGGGAAGGCCCTCTATGAGGTAGATTGATTCAGTGATTGGAATAATCGGGAAGGGAGTGTCAGAGACAGTGCAATTGGCATAGGACAGAGCAGAGTTTAGTGCTGTTGTACATAGGGTCGCTATGAGTCACAAGCGACTCGACAGCACATAACAACAACAATCAGTAATGTTCAATTAAATAATTTAAGTTTGAATGTGCAAGAGTGAAAGAAGTACTTAAAACAAAATTCTGGGGTAATAGGAATCTGGGTCTCCCTCAGCCTTTTAGGATATGTAGACACCGTATCTACACAGGGGAAAACCAGAATGGCCTCAGACTTCTCCTCAGCAAGATTTAATCACAGAAGCTAAGGAGTGATGCTTATAAGGTCCTCAAGAAAAGAAGATGTGGACCAGGTATTCTCTACTGAGTAGCCATTCAGACTTAAGGACTGCATGAAAGTTCTCATTATGCAACATGAGGGAAATATGGTTCTTGGGAGCCCCTTATCAAAGTGCTTGAAGACCTTTTTCAACATTCTGTAGTGTTAAATCAGAAGATCCAGCCGAAGGATCGACAGTTAAGTGTAGAATCCATCATCATAATGAAATAAAATTAAAGCAAAAGAAAACATCTTTTAAAGTTGTATGTCTGAGTAAAAATGTTATAAATCCTGGGTATAATCAAATGAGGTAGCTAAAAAAAAAAAACCCACCCCAAACAACAGAGGTAGTGTATCCTCAATTTTTTTCACCTTGTGTAGCTAGGATTATTGTTTGTAGTTAATATATGAAGTAATAAGGGTGTATTCACATATAGAGATAAGCAGTAAAACACACAAATACTCTGGAAATTGAGTTCATGGTGAGGCAGAAGAAACAAAAATTCTGATCAGAGAGCTGAAAGAGGGTCGCCTGGAAAGAATCAGAAAGTAAATGTGTTGCACAAAATTATTTCATCCACTTTCATGTTGCTCACAGCAGAATGTTGCCTCATAGGATGCGGGGACATGTTTGATGTAGTGCTGGAAGATGACACTGAGCAGACAGTGACTGTGACAAGGCTCCGGCACAGCAACAATTGTGAAGATGACACGGGACTGGCCAACATCTCATTCTGCTGTCTATGAGACCATCATGCACCTGACTGGAGTCTATCAGGACGCCACTGACAACAGGGAGTTATAACTCGAAGATGAACACTGACGTGGAAATGTGAGCTCTCCAAAATCGTCAGAAGATTACAAAACTGAAGCCACAGAGTGGAAAAGGAAAAGGAAGCTTAAAAACAGAAAGCATAGGCCATAAATCAAACAAGAAAAAAGGTACAATAAGGGTCATGATCTTAACATCAGACAAGCTTGATGAATGCAGAGGAGGGTGGGAAAGGCCTTAACTAGGACAAATAAAGACTTTTCATGGTAATACAAAAAATGCTCATTTCTACTGAAGATTTCACAGTTATAAATATCTTCAGCAAGTGACACAGTGTTCACAAAGTGAAGGCTACAAGAAATAGAAAAGCTAGAAGCTCATTCGCAGTTGGAACGTTTAATGCATCTCTTTGAGCCCAGGGGCAAGTTGAGAACACTCCCCTGCCTGGTTTTATATATAAAATTGGACAAAGGCAGAGAATACACTGTTCAGTTTATCTATAGAGAATTACTTGGACCCCATCTATTCAGCCACACAGGCAAACTCAACAAATACTAAAATAAATCGCTGTGTGGTGTCAATCAGCATTAATAACACCAGAAAACAAAACAAACAGAACCCTCACCATTCTGCGTAGAGTATGTATGCATTAATGGCTGGGATATTTTTAAGACCTGAGGAATAAGTGTTTTAAGGGAAATTACCTGACTCCAGAACCAGGTCAGGGCGAGCTGTGGTGGATCAAGGAGGCACACAAGCACAGACTCCCTACTATTAACAGTTAAAGCCTTTGCCATTTTGAGAAAAATCCAAAACCTGCCCCTAACATAGAATAAAAGGTGGTGCAGTGGTTAAGCACTTGTTTGCGAAACAAAAACTCAGTGGTTAAGAACCCACCGCCAGCTCCACAGGACAATCACATGGCAGCCTGTTGGGCATTGATCTGTCTCTCCCAAAATACGTGTCTCTTTGGCCGGATCTTAATTCTCAGTTACATAACGATGTAAAGCTATGCGTGAGCTGATTGGACTTGCCAGATTTAGCTAACAGTGAGCTGTGGTCTGGAAGCCTCTTGGTTTAGAGCCAACCAGGAACTGGTGGGCAGGTCTTGTATTTAAAAGGTAATGATGTTCTCTTCCCCTTGATGTGGTCGGGTTTGACCAGCCCAGATCTGATGTACAGGGATGAGGGTGGGATATAATACCCTTCTGAAAGTCACAGCCCTACAGATTTGAGGGGGGTTCCCCTGGGGTGTAGTCTGCACCACCTTTTCTCTTACAAGAGACAACAGGACAGAGAAGCAAAAAGACAAACTGCCCAGAAGACAGAGCTGGAAGCAGTGTGTGTCTTCTGGACACAGGGCACCCACATGGGGTCTCCTAGAACAGGGAGATACAAATAGAAAAATATCTCCCTAGAGCCAGCACCCTGAATTCGTACTTCTAGCCCCCTAAACAGTGAGACTAAATTTCTGTTTGTTAAAATCAGCCTCTGATGGTAGTTCTATTAGCAGCCCTAGGTAACTAAGACCATCTACTTCCGTAAAGACCCCTTCCATAAAAAACCCCTGCTGCTGTCCAACCGGTTCCCGTGGAAGCAAACTGCCACATCTTTCTCCCACCATGTGGCTGGTGGGTTCCAACCACTGAACTGCTCCAACCAGTGCACCCCCAGGGCTACTCTAGAATTCCTACTGCCTTGGAAACTCTTAAAGGCGGTTCTTTTATGTGTAATAGAGTCAAAGTCCACCAACAGCAGAGAATTCTATCAAACAGAGGGCATATCATTTCAACCTTGGCAACTAGTGATTTTAGGAGCCAGGAATTCAGCTCCTAATTTTTTTATTTTTTTCCAGCCCCGCAGGCTGAGGAGAGAACAAAGCCCCACCTCCAGGAGCTGGCGGGTCCCAAAGGCAGGGGAGTACTGGCCTGTGCTGAAAGGTAGAAGCGGTGCTCAGTATCCAGAACTCACTGAGGATGCAGCCGAGAGCTAGCTGGGTGTAGTAGGAATCGTGCAGGGACACGACCCAGGGGAACATCTTCCTGTGGACCAAGTTGTCCTCCAGAGTATCAGGGATGTAGGCTTTCTGGATGCCACAATCTGCAGGAGGAATTTGGGGCTCACTGCTGAATCATGTGTTGGCTGCCTGGGGGCTCTGCTGCTGGACCACAATCGGGGAGCCCCCTCTCCTGCTGGCTTCACACCTCAGGCTTATTATCCTGGTTGTGACTCATTCCACCACCCCAGGCTTTTCTTTATCTGAGTGGATCTTCCCCCACCCCCTACCCCTGCAAAGTCTTGATTATTTCTTTGCACTGACAAGTAGCTGTCAGACAGCTGGGAATAATTTCTGTCTATTGGCCAACAGCATCAGTTTAAAGGTGCACCTGATCCAAGACAGTGATATTTTCAATTCCTTTCTATGCATCTGAAAGTTGGACAATGGGTAAATAAAGATGACTGAAGAAGAACCGATGCCTTCGAATTGTGGTGTAAAGGAAGGCTACAGAATAACTAATGGACAGCCAAAAGAAGTCTGCCTTTGAGGGAGAGCAATTTGGCTGCACCTTAGAGGCAAGGATGCGCTCTGAGTTTGCTATCAAGAACGGCCAGTCCCTGAAAGAAGACATTCTACTGGGTAGGGTGACGAGAGGGAGACCTTCCTGAAGGTGGACTGACAGTTATTGTGACAATGGGCTTGAACACGTCAGAGTTGGAAAGGCTGGTCCAGAGTAGGGAAACGATTCTTGTTCACAATATAAAATAAAATAAAAAAGTAGGTTAATTGCTCAGAAGGAGATTGTCCATCGTTCTCCTTCAAAAAGCTGGTGCTTTTGAACAGCACATCTTTGGATTGGCAGCACACTAGACCACTAGAGAGCTGCCTGGATCTAGACAGGAGTCAGAAAATTGTTTATGAAAAGGGCCATGCAGTAAATATTTTAGCTCCCCCACCATCATTATGTTAAAGTAGCTATTAGCAAATGAATGTGGCTATTCCAGAAGTCTTCATTAAAGTAGGCAGAGAGCCAGATTTGGGAAGAAAATAAAAAAGAGTTGTAGGCAGCTTGATGGCACCTAGCAACAACAACCACCACCACAACACTGAACACTTGGAAGCCCCTGGGTTGTACAAATTGTTAGGTCTTCAGTTACTTATCTGAAAAGCTTGAAGTTCAAGCTCACCCTGAGTCAGCTTGAAAGACATAATTATTTACTTCCAGGAAACAGCCATTGAAAGTCTTTGGGGAGTCAGGGTTGACTCCATCATGACTGGGAAGAAGGAGTATATGATAGGCAGTCTGCAGAGTCTTTTACGTACACTGTTGCTATTGTACACCGTCCAGTCATAACCAACTCATAGCTGACCCTCAATAAAGCAGGTTTTCAGAGGCAGCAAATTGCACAGTAGGAGACTGGCCATCTTTCCCAATAGATCAGCTAGTGGATTCAAACTATCTTCGAGATTGCAGTGGTGTTTCTTACCACTAGGCCATCAGACCTCCTTTTCTATATGTTCGAGGTCCTCAAAGTGTAGTCTAGAGAGCTCTGCAGTCCCCAAGACCATTTAGAGGCCTACTAACATAGTATAAAAATATTTCCATAAGAATATTGTGGTATAATATTGGAAACAACCCACATCTATGAACAGACAAACAGATAAAGAACTGATGATAAGGGGTGGATATGAACAAAAGATTTGAAAAGCTGTATAACTTTCATCATTTCTCCAGGTTCATAGAGTTTCTGGAGGGAAGTCACTTCAGAAGCAGATGCCACTCCTGCTTCCAAGCTTGTTTTAATCGGGGAGCTCCACCAAACACTGTCCACCATGGGTAACCATTATCGCATTTGACACATCAATGTCACAGTGTTTAGCATCACAGCAACCATGAGTTACCTCTGACATGATAATTATGTAATCACATTAATAATGGTTATTAATGTTAGATAAAATGCATATGCATTATAAAAGAATGAAAATAAAAAATAAATGGTACATTAACACAGTGGTATATTAGCAACATTAAAAATGATAAAGAATTTGTGGAAAACTACATAACATGATGAATCTAGAAGAAATTAAGCTAAGTGACTTAAGTCACAAAGGAACAATTAAGGTATTGTTGTTGTTATGTGTCGTCAAGCCGCCTGTGACTCATAGCAACCCTATGTACAATAGCTCTGAACCCTGCCCTATCCTGATCCAATTTCATTGTCTCTGACACACCTACACCCATTACCCCAATTACTGAGTCAGTCCACCTCATCCAGGGTCTTCCTCTCCTGCACTGTCCTTCCACCCTTCCAAGCGTGATGTCCTTCTCCAAGGATTGGTCCCGCTTGGCCATGTGCCCATAGTATGTAAGACAGAGCTTCAAAATCCTTGCCTCCAAGGAGCAGCTTGGCTTCACCCTCTCCAGGACAGACCTGGTTGTTCTCTTAGCAGTCTATGGTATGGTCAAGACTCTTTTCCAGCACTATAATTCAAAGGCATCAGTTCTATGATACAAGATCACTATTATAAAAAAGCTAAGGAAAGGTTTATTCATTGACTGACTCATTCTTCAGTGGTGCTAATTACGCGAAAGGAGGGCGAGGGCAGTAAAAATGAACAGGTAAGTTGGGTGAAGGGAAAAACAATACACAATAAGGGTCATTGTAATAAGTCATTGGAATCAAGTCATTACATTATTTCATTAACTAATGTCATAAAACAAAATGTGTATGATTGATTGAACTTTTAAAAATCTTATTTGTAAACTTTTCCTCAATGGGAAAATAAAAGTTACTCTATGTCAGCATGACCATGAGCCTCCTTATAATGTAATTTGTTTACAAGTTGCAAATTCTAACTCCTCTGATGTTAGTAAGACAGAATTGTAAGAAGTCCTGTGAAGCTGTGATTAGCTTTATCTGACTAGAGGTAGATCTCCTCGGGAGTGTGGCCTGCATTGTCCATATATGTTCGGGCAAAAATGTAGAGAGTTTTTTGTCAGAGGTCCCTACATGTGGCTGTCTAGCTTGTGGTCTCCAGGCCTTGAACTGGTGGACTGCCACACTTTGCAATTCTGGACTCCTCAGTCTCCTTGTCCGCAGCCCTGCTTTCCAACAATGACCTTGCCTGTCAGCCTCGGAAGCTGGTAGCCTCCGAAGTCTTCAGCCTGTAACCCCTTCCTGCCTGTTGATGACCCGAATCGTGCTCCTCCAGACACCTCTCTCTTGCGGTCTGACCGGCAGACCAGGCGATTGTCCCTGCAAGCACGTGAGCTATTTGCTTATTTGCCTGAAGTAAATACCTCTCTCTCCACATCAGCGATGTCGTGTGAGTCAAAGTGACATGTGGAGAGTCACAGAATGATGGCTGAGCTAGTTGCTGGCTGACAAGACAGTGTGTCTCCAAGGTGATTTAAGCGCCTCAGAACCACTGAAGAGCAGATTTTGTCAAACTCGGTCTGATTTTTTTAGGACACTCCTCCGTGCAGGGCACTAACCAGTTCTTCATGTGTAAGGCCTTGTGGTAGTTTTGGTTTTGGGTTTTTTTGTGTTGTTGTTTTTTGGTTGGGTTTTTTTTTTTACGCTCTTGTAAGGAAACTCATTTGACCTCAAAAAAACGCCTGGAAGGCCAGGGGGTAGTGAGGAAAGCTGACCTAGAAAGGAAACATTTGCCCTGGGTCCCCTGGGAGAGGAGCTGAGGAAGGTGGAGGGCCCCAGGCGTGTGTGTATGTGTGTGTGATCTACACACAGAATATCAGGACAGAACTAGATGCGGTGGCTGAGAGGAGGGCAGAGGCTGTTTCAGCTGGATGCCTCCTCTTCACCTGCCCCTTCTAGGCTGGACTTCTAACTCCTAGACAGGGCCCTGGGGCAGGGGGCAAGCCTAGAGCTGTCAGGCTCCCTGCTCCTTGGCACCAGGCCCGCAGGAGGAGTCACACAACCTTTGGAATGAATGACAAAGGCTTTATTGCAACAACAGTTATGCAGGAAGGACCTGGCACCCAGGAATACCAGTGTATTATCTCTGCCCAGTTGGGGGGACCTGGCACCCAGGAACACCAGCATATTCTCTCTGCCCAGTTGGGGGGAGGATGCTCCCCGTAACAGCACCTGGGGCATGTGCCCCGGCAGGAGCGGGCAGAGACCGAGAGCAGGGAGGCAGGTCCTGAGTAATTTCCTTAACTGAATTCCTACCCTAAAGGCAGCTCAGACATCAGGCTGCTAGCCCCACATCCACGTCCATGTCCCACATGTTTGCCTGTCTGAGCCACCAGCACATGTCCTCAGTCATGTCCCGCAGTCCCTTTCTGGGCACTACAAACTATTTTGTCTCCCTGATGAGCCCCACCAGCCGTGTTACGCATCCAACCAGTCATCACAGACGAAGCCCTACTCACTGGCAGAAGAGTGGGAAACGCAGAGCAGTAACAAGAGCACCGCTCTCATCTCTGCCATACCCCAAGAGAACCGCAGCAGACACCATGGGCAGCTGTGAAGACAGAGAAGCCAGCACCCCATCAGCTCTCCAGATTCAGACAGAGCCTCCCTCCCTCTGTCCTGGCGCCAGAGCCCCTGGTGAGGAGGTCACACACCTGTCACGTCCCTATTGTGCAGTTCTGTGCAGTAAAGAGGCAGAGACCAGCTGGCTGGCACCAGGGTTCGCGTAGCAACTCACAAGCTGGGCCCAGGAGAGAAGGCAGTACAAGCTGGTCTGAGTTCTCCTCTGTCCAACACGAGGCCCTGGGCTTCCTAGAGAGTCAATGTCTGTTAAGGGTAGTTTTTTTGACTCGTGGCATTCAACCTTAACTCTGTTCCTATGAAAGGCTGCTGGACAAAAAGGCAAAGGGGTTAAGACAAGAGCAAATGGGGCTTCGTGGCTACGCTGTGGTTTTATTGCTCATGCTAAGCTCTACCTGCTGGTTTAAATAATGTTGGGTGGGTTGGTTTTGGTTTTTTTTTTTCAACCAGAAACAGGTAATGCTGTAGATAGCAACCGCCCAGCATCAACACAAATGATCCCATGAAGCAGGCACTACTATTATGCCCATTTTACAGATTCAGAAACTGACAATCAGACATTAAGTAGCCAGCCCGAGATCACATAGCTAGTGGGATTCCAGCTCTGCTCTGTCTACATCCAAAAGCTAGGTGGGCTTCCCCACACACCATCCCATTAGGCCTAGAGCCTTGCCTCAAACAATTCGCAACAGCCTGAGGAACCCGCTGGCATCGCCAAGACACCACGTTCTGTTCACGACACCAGATGTTCTTGTTGTCAGGATGGTTCTGAGTTCTTCTGTGAACGGCTTTTGCTAAATGAGAAATGAACTCACTCTGGCCTTGCAGAGCTCAACAAAGGGATGTCTTTTACCCCCTTGTGAAGAATGTTCCATTGTGACATCACGGTTACTATGCATCACTAAGCAAACATCTGGACTGGTCTGGCCAAATGGTGGGACCAGACACACACGGTCTGGACTCCCCACCCTGGAGCAGTTTTGAATTCAGCACAAAGGCAGGGCACTAGGAAGGTGTTGACAGCGCCATGGTAAGCTAAAAAACTCTGCGGAACCTCGGAAGGTTTGCAGGCGCTGGGCATCACTGCACTTTTTTTAAAATTTTTTTAAATTTTTATGGTATTATTTTTACGTGTACAGTCAAATCAGATCTGACTGGTACAGGAGGAGATTGTCCCCTCCTTCTCCAGCAGAGCATCTGGTGGATTTGAACCGTGTACCTCTGGGATTGCAGTGCAGTGTCTTGCCACTAGGCCACCAGAGCTCCCTA